TGGTGATGGTGATGATGATGATGATGATGATGATGCCGATGAATGATGATGCTGATGAGGATGATGATGACACTGATGATGATGATGATGATGATGATGATGATGATGATGATGATGATGATGCTTTCGTTGCCTATCTTATCTGGACACTTGTTTTAATGTTGGGTGATCTTCATTCGGGTACTCTTTTCTTTGATCCAAGATTTCGAGGAGATCCAGTGCATCTTTTATTACACCTTAGAGTTACTTCTGTCTTCTTCTTTCTTCTCTTTTTGCGAATCTGGCCAATTAATAATAATAATCATAATCATCATAATGTTTACCTCGTACCTCGAATTCTTAAAACAACATTTAACACAACCTCAACAATAAAAGCAGATTGGGGGTCGGCGGCATCAGGCGTCAGCCTGCTTAATAGCCTGGGTATGATGTTGACCCTCTTCTAAAAAAGGATGTATTTACCATGAAAACTTGGGTTTTTCAAAAAATACCGTAAACAAAGTGGGTACTTGGAGTAGGGGGAATAAAAACCCAACGAATGCTGACACCCCCTAGCCCTATTCATCAACCAACCTGGTTATTCACATGAGTCTGTTTCCCCTCCAAAAATGATGAATCCCCACTAAAACCAGGGACACCCCCCATATTAATAAAGAGGGGTGGCTCGTTTTGTTTGGTTCCTCTCATTGGTTCCTCTGACTGGTATGATGTCAACCATCTGCCAGACAAGGATTTGGTATTTACCCTCAACTAAACAAAGGCAAAGGGCAACACGTCCAAATCATTGGGAATTTAACGTCAAATCCAAACATTACCGCTTTGTTTGGGTATCAGATACAATTCTGAGTGGATGGCCCGAAAAAAGTGGCCAACAATCATTTACTTGCCACTAAAATGAGGAAGTGAGTTGAAAACCCACGGGAAAGCCGCATCCCTACCCACTACCCCCTCCTTTTGGATTTGTCAACCCACTAAAACCACGGGGAAACCTTACAAAACCCTAGGGTTCATCTGATGAGAACCCTGGAGGGTAAACGTTTTGGTAACATATGAAGCCAACCATTGCACTACTAGGATATTGCAGGTAGTTTGAGGGTCCAGGAACTGGTACCCTTTGAAGGAACGGCAGTCGCGCAAAGGATAACCTTCATGACGAAATCTAGACCAAAAAGGGGAACCTGGAGTCTCCATGACCCCCAGAAAAAGGGGTCATGACCCCTTGATTTTGGGCCATGACCCCATTTTCAAAGGGTCAGAAGGAGACTCCAGGAACCAAAAGGTCAAAAGTTCGGCTTTGGACATTTGAGTTCAATGCCAGGGTATGTGTCTGAGGGTGTTTCCCTCGAGCGAGGCCCCCGTCAGCTCCACATACCAACTTAACTCTTTTTTGAGTTGGGATCTGGACAACCCTGACTAGAAAACCTGGGACAAGCCACAGCTTTCCAAGAAATACCCTTAGAAACTGGCCCGACCAAAAACCTGTGAGGGGTGAACTGACACAAGACCTCAAAACAAACGGATGGGACCGGGTGAGTTATAGGGTGTTTTTTCTCGGGTAATTTGAGGGTGGCGCCCTCCAAATCTCCGGATTCCCATGTACGGGGTCTCTTTGATTTTGCTTCTCCAGCTAGAAGCTTTGGGGTCGCCCACAGCTCCACTAGTTCCTCCAGTAGAGCGGTTAAACCCTTTTTTCTGTAGTCTATATTAGTAGGGGAACCCTCCCCCAAAAAAGTTGGTCAAAGGGCACCTAGCTGGCGGACCTAGCCTTAGAACCTTGACCCACTCTTACCCTCCAACAAAAAACCCTTAAAGACCAGCAGAAAAAGAAAAACCTTCTAGGTCCTCGAGTACCTGGAGTCTCCAGAACCAGAAGAAATCTTGAGGCTTCTGGCGGCTCCGAAAGCCCCAGGACTCAGGGGAAGTGAGCCCGGTTTGGGTCTTCAACTCACTGAAGTACCTAGAGTCTGCTTCTGACCCGAATCAAAAAATGGTTGGTCAGACTCCCCAAAACTAAGGTTCGGGTCATGAGTCCTTTTTCTAGGGGTCAAAAGGAGACTCCAGGTAGACTGTAACGTGGAGAAACTAGGGTTAGTTGGCTCATAAAGAATGGTTACAACCTACTTTACCTCACATGGGCAAAGAAAACCAACTGGAACTCCTTCCCCACTGCTCACTTGTCTCCTGAACCAAGAGCGGACGGGCTGTCACCAATTAAAGCCTTCGGGCCAACGAATCCACACCCTGAGAAGCAGACGAGGCGTCTACTTCGGATCGAGTCGAGGCGCAGATCCATGACGTTCCAGGCGTCACACCAGAACTTGCACCGCGCCGCGCACATGCGCACGGCGATCTCCTCGTTTTTATGTTTTTGGTGTTTCTCGATCGAAGGCCTTGTTTGTCCTTTTACGTTTGCTTGTTTGTTTGAAGCTTTTTTTTTTGTTTCGGTCGAAGGCCCCACACCAAGTCCTGGGCTTGTTGGTGGTGGTTTTGCCGTGTGTTTATGTTCGGTCGAAACTCCAACTTCGATTTGGGGCAAATGGACATGTTGTGTCTTTAATTTGGGGCGGATGGACATGTTGTGTTTTTGGTCGAAACCCCAAACCAAGTTGGGGTGGCTCTTGTCCTTTGTTTTTTTTCCCCGAGGATTTTCGGACCCCTCACAAAATGGCGCAACGGTATTGAACTTGTGGTTTCCCTTCAAAGACGACCAAGGGAACCAACCAACTCGCTTCCTGAGTTGATTGGCCAAAAAAAGTCCAAACTTTTTGTTTACCACCAAAAAGGTCTTCCCAAAAAGTTTAAAGTCAGGAAGTGAGCTACTAAAGGAAACCGCAACACACGCGGCGAGGGTCTGGAGGTCGGTTCTCAAGACGGACCGGTTCCTGGGAGGGGCTCCCTCAAACAGGGAGCCGAATCGGTGGAGACCGGTGGGGGGTGGGGAGTGGAACACATTTGCCGACAAGAACCAGGGGTTCACATCCAAATCCACATCACCAAACCAAACCACCAAGGGATCCCTAATAAGTCTTGGCCAAGCTCTGGCGTGCACCAAAAAAAACATTGGACCCTCAAACTACCCATTAAGAAAGAAAGAAAGTGGAATGCACCCATTCCATAATTTTAAGTTGCAATCATCGATTCTTAAGTTGGACTTTTCAGAACCATGGGGTTTCTCAAGCCCAAGGGTTCCTCCCGAAACACCGAGCAAAGTTTGCACCCGGCTTCCCAGCGCACTTAGGGCCTAGCTTATTCCAAGGGCCTAAGAGGGCCCTGAGGCCCGAGAAAAAACGGGGCGTACATTGTAGGGGGGTTGTGGGGGGTAGGTGTCATGTGCATTCAGTCAGGATAGGATAAAACGCATCTGATAGGTTAAAACCACCAAAGTTCTGGTTGGTGAACTCCTTCTTTTCTTTGGTAGTCTATCCTGAAACATGAGATGTTGGAGAAGAGCACACACATCCTACGTATGTGTTCCGCATGGTGAGGTTGTTGGGATGAACTTTCTGTGGATTCAAACATATTGCACGTTGGGTTAAGATCATGTTGTAGTTTGTCCATCGCTTGTGGTATAGGTTTACTGGCAATACTCGGGAAATCCTATCGCGTCGCTCCGATTATCTGTGATTCAACTCATCCGCCTAAAGAACCTTCATGGGCTACATCGCCACAAAGAAACCATCGAGCTAGTTTGTGCAGAAGCCATGTGACTGCCCCGCACCTTTCGTTTGGTCGCAACATTCTAGGGGTTGATTCCTTATCCAGTCTTTCCAGCCATCGTTCTTTCACAAAAACCGGATCCGTTTTCCCTCGGTTTCCGGAGGTTTTCCAGAAAGATTCGGATCCCTGGAATGGAAATGGAAGGTACCCCTAGAAACATACTCACCGCGAGGTTTATCTAGGCTTCGAAGTGCCCTAAGGTTGCCATTGACTGGTTTGATTTAGAACTGATCGCCACTGGTTCCAAAAAGGTCAACGGAGTATCTGGACCCTCAACATTCCCTTAAGAAAATGGTTCTTGCCCATACCCACTACACCCAGCCCATACCCACTCAGGGTGTAGGGTATGATGTTCATCCTTGACTAAAGGGATCGTTGTTCCCTGGAAAGCCAGTTTGGACAATGACCCTAAAACAACAATTGGCCCTCGAATCAAAAGCAAACACCAGCTGACGGAAAAGCCATAAGTTCCTCAGAAGGTAAAATGACCCAAATCAGGAGAGCTTGTTGCCTAGGTCCCCCAGTAGTGCCCTTTTACCCTTTGTTCGGGGAGGGTTGCCCTACTAAAAAAGACTACAGAAAAAAGGTACCCTTATTCTAACTTCTCTACTGGAGGACCTAGTTGCAAGCTGAAGCATGTGCCGATCTCAGACTTGCGAAACATCGAGCCCTTGCCCAACCTCCTCGACATGCGTCCAAAGCGACACCCCCATTCACTTAAAAATGGGCGATTGCCCTCGAAATATTTGGGGCGAATTCCCATTCTTTTTGTTGGGCAGTGTGAGGGTCCAGGTTGTCCTTTTGCCACCTTTAGGACCAGTTTGGCATAACACGAGGAATCTCGTACTTTTACGGGGAACGGGGAACCAATGCATTTGTCCAGGAGTAAGTCATAAGAATCTAGGGATCCCTAGACAGGAACCATGTGTGAGCCACTTGTGCAGTCGCTGTGCCCAAAGGACATCCTGAGACCCCAACGTAATTAGGATAACCCCTCAGCAAAGGGTGCAGTTCTACCCTGTCATACACAAATGCGCACATATACATATATACAAATATATATATATATACACAAATAAAGCAAAAACCTTGGTATTGGGAGGGGGTCTTAGAATATGAATATATACATATATGTATACGTATATACGCGTAATTTAAATATACTCTTGTTTCCTCACTGCTAGTTGCCAGCAACATGTGAAATCTATCCTAGCTCCACCGAGTTTGTTTGAAGCCTCCCCTCCAAATATATGAATCCGACGAGGTGCCATAGCAAAGATCACCTCGGATCGTCAAAGCTTCTTGCGTTGCCCGGATTTTCGCAGAACACATGCCCAAAAAAGGGATTTGTATTTACTCTCGACTAAACAAAGCCAAAGGACATTTGGAGCACAGGGAAGGCATTGTTTACTTGGGTGTTCGATTCGCCAAGATAGAAAGTTGTAACGGTAACCTAGGTCACAACCCACGTAACAAGGCCTCCTCAAGTCGGGTTGACAATTAGTCAGTAGTAGGTTTTCACACCCACCCTAAGGGTCTCGCTCGAGGTATTTTGGGCTCTCAAAATGGGTTGTTTTTGAGGGTCCTTGAGCAAGCGGTAGCATACCCGCAAGCTTTCTACCCTCTTTTCCAAACCCGCCCAACAGCATTTATCAACGCACCGCCCAAATCCACATAAAAAGCTTAAACATGTTTCCAAATATCAATCCACTCACCAAATCCCATATAATAATTCATAAAATGTTTCAAGTTATTCATTTTTCTAGAATAACTTAAACCATTTCAACTATCCTCAACCTCATTCTTTTTTAAATTCTCGATATGCTTCTTTGTTTTTTCATGCCTCACTTTATGTTTCAATCTGACTTCGCAATCACAAACAGAACACACAAATATTTTCATGCCATATTCTTTATTTATTTCGCTTATCTCCTCTTTATGATTATCTCTCCATGTTTGCGAGTAGATTTTCGTTTTTTCTCTACACAAATCACAAGTTTTATGATTTTCTGAAAATAATTCAATCTTTCTATGAACTTTACAATGTGAACAATATTGTTTTTCTCCTTCTTCTATTTCTTTCTGTTGCTTGACTGCGTTTTGTTTCAGTCTCTTTCTTTGGTCTTTCTTTTTCTGCCTTTCACGGCATCTATCACAAGTTTTACAACTATCGGTAAATACATTTCCATCCTTATGACATCCACAACACGAGCAATATTTCCTTTCCATAATCTTCTACTATAAAAAGCATTCTACCCTTTAAATAGTTTTAGACATAATAAATATCAAGGTCTGGGGTAAGACCCTCGTAGAAAAAAACACCAAAACAACAAACCAAACAAAAAACCAAACAACAAACAATACAATTGTCTATTATAAAGGCAATTACCAAAAAAATCGTAGGAACTCAAAAAACATTCGTAGGAACTCAAAAAACATTCGTAGGAACTCAAAAAACATTCGTAGGAACTCAAAAAACATTCGTAGGAACTCAAAAAACATTCGTAGGAACTCAAAAGACATTCGTAGGAACTCCAAAAACATTGGTAGAAAGTCCATACAAACAACAATTACATAACACTTGCCAAAACCTCCCGCAAAAGCTGTTTCCAAATCTTGCAAAAGCTATTTCCAAATCTTGCAAAAGCTATTGCAAAATCCCGCAAAAGCTATTGCAAAATCCCGCCAAAGCTATTTTCAAATCCTGCCAAAGGCTTGTGGGTTTGTTCTGTTGTTTTCTTGTTGGTCTATATAATATATAATATTATATATTATATAACCCCCTGTTTATCTCAACCATATTTGGGCAACTGTTCTACCGATTTCATGGTCAAGTTCTTCATCATAAAACTGGTTGAAGTATTTGTTATTAGCATGTTTACCTTTCAAATATTTCAGTATCATCCTAAACATATCTGCGTATTTTAGCATTGTCCCATAAGCAGTATCTACACGGTTTTCCAACAAATGATATTTAGCACATTCAGCAATATAACCATCAAACAAACTATCATACAAGTCTTTGAATATGCCATGGACTTCTTTTGTATACATGATTATGAGGTTGGTTCTATAACCTGATATACTAAAAAATGTCAATACATCACTTAAAACAGTCTTGTATTCGGGGAATGGGTTAAACTGTATGAAACAATACATCTGTATGTCATAAGCAGTTGCCCGTTGAAAATTTATGTATTCGGGTTTGTTTTCTATCACTTCATCCACTCTGTCAATATATTTTACTGCCTGAGAACATCTGACACAGTAATGGGAATATCCAAGTATCATATAAACAATGTTGTCAGGGAGATTTGTAGAGTTGAACCCATCTGCCCTATTCTGTCTAATGCGCCTACAATATTGACACTTGCCAACTTTGTTTCTTTCATCAACACTGTTAAACTCAATCTTAAACATATTTCACTAATATATATAGGCATTATTTCTTTAAACCCTTTTTAGTCTAAAACTATAATTTTAACATCTCATGCCGCAATAAGGGTTTAGGAAAATCACTAACATGATAATACTTCTGACCTAATTTACTATCTATTTTGGTTATTGTGTGGACTGTCTTTAACCAATGACTGGTTCTCTCTTTCTCGCTAATTCCTTTTTTCCTCATTATCTTGACTTTGTCCCCTACATCCAAATCAGGATACAAACGGGTTTTTCTGGCATTCATTGATATGTTTAATTTAACTTCAAACTCATTCTTCTTCTTCCTTGCTTCTATCGGTGTCATTTTCGTAACGGAACTTACCAATTTATTATTATAAGTTAATAAAATTTCTAATATATAATCAGTCCATTGAATATTATTTTTATTTTTCTTTACATCTGCATCAACTCTCTTGAAAAGCATATCTTTAAATGTCCGTATAAATCTTTCACCAAAAGCTGGATGTCCTCTCGTGGTGTGTAATTCTATGTTTTCCTCTTTAAGATACTTGATAGTGTCATGACTGTTTAAACTACCCTCGTCGTCTCCATAAAGCATTTTAGGTTTCCCGCCCATTTTTTCTATGCCTTCCATAATTCCCGCTAAAACATCCGGTGTGAGTTTGCTTTTTATAGGTATTACGGTAGCATATTTGCTAAAAATATCAATCAATATTAAACCAACTTTAAACTTCTGTTTAGCATCAAAGTCTTTTTTGGACATAAAAAATAAATCAAACTGAAACTCCCAATAAGCATGTGGAGCAACAAAACTATTCTGCCCTCTTGGTTTCCTTTTCTCATCAACATTTGTTTTAAAGAACTCATTAACATCGTCCGCAGTAATAGTTTTATCTTTCTGTCTGGCATCTTGTAAAGTTATCGCTTTACTTCCAAACCCGCTTTTATCGTAATAAATATCACTAATTATTTTTTGTTTATCCATATAATTAATTAAGATTTTAATATAAATATATTAAAATCTTAATGTGCTGATACATTACAGTAAAAACAGTAGGCAATACAGTTGTCTCTCTCATGCCCTGTATCATTACATAACCTTTGTGCTGTAAAGTTGCTACATAATTTACCTTTCTTAGTTTCAAAGTTAAACGAAGTATTACACTTTTGGCATCTACTTTTAAACTGCGACAAGCACCATTCGGCAGTTATGTATTCTTCGTCATTGATTTCTCTTTGGGCACGACGGTCCTGTATCTTGTAGTTTTCTACTTTGTTCCTAAAATATCTCATTATCATATTTTTATCCATCTGCTTATCAAAGTCTGGATTGCAATAAAATTTAACTTTCCTAAAATCAACACAGCGAGTGACACTACACCACAGCCACTCTCTGCTTACAAATGGTAAATTATGCTCATGAATTGTCATGCTTTCCTTTACACTTGCTCCCTGAGATGAGTGAGTAGTAGCACAATACGAATATATAAAATTAGCATCTACAATGGGTTCAAACAACATAAATTTATCTTCTTCCCTTGCTATATTTTGTAATGTTATTTGTTTTCCTAATTCATCATCTTCTATATTTGTAATCTTGTATCTTAAATTGACATTTACCCTTGGTTGTTTAATCCACTTTCTGGCAATTAAAATATCACCCACTACATATTTAGCGTTTATGTTTAACCTGTCCCGTATTTCATTTGAGACGGCGCGGCATCTAATATTGGTATAAGCGATGTTATGCTCCGATGCCATTATATCATCGGTGATTTCAAAATATTTGGGTATGATGTCATTTAACGGCAATTTCTTTTCCCAAAAGTCAGCATACATATCATTAATTATTGCTCTATTTCTTTCTCCTTCAACGCTGTCCTTTGCTCCTACTCTCTTACAAATCTTTAAAAATATGTTATATTTAAAGATTGTGTCTAAACAATTATCTATGTATGTTGCGGGGTCTTGGCAGTTAGTCAGAATTTCTACTCCCTGTAATTGCTTGACATCACCTGTAGCAACAACAATTTTATCTGGATTATTCTGAATGAATAACCTTACTTTATTCAATACATATAAATTTGACATATATATTTCGTCAAATACAATTATATTATAAGGCGAGTAATCATACTGTGGCAATTTCTCTCCGGCATCTTCATGAACGGCAATGCTAAAAAACTTGTTGTATGTTGTCGCTTCTACTTCTTTCTCTTGTAAAAGTCTATTGGTTGGAACAACGAACAGAACATTATAATTCATTTTTTGGAAATATTCGCCTATATAACTCTTGCCACTACCCGCGAAACGAGCACGGATTAGGCACGGATTTTGTTTAATAATTTTCTTACAAATGCTTTCAGTATTCCATTCATCTTCAATAGGAATATTAACATTCTTAATCTTCGGTATTTCAGGTAATTCATTAAACTTATATTTGTATGGTTGGGTTGGTAATGTTATAGTGTGCTTCTCTTCAAGCCTCCAATTGCCTATCTCATCACCAAATTTCAACAGTCCCTCTCTCCACTTTCTCAAAAACATATATCCATACACTTTATCTAAATCGTCTTCATGGATAGTAAAACTATCTGTTTTAACACTATACACTTTAACATTATTATCAGTTAATTTTTTGTATGCTTCATACATTTTAAAATTATGATACTGTAGCAAAAGCTCTTTGATGTATGTAAATCCATTATTTAATACTTTTTTATCCGACACATTCAACACATAATATGTCATGTCCTTTGTTTCCCTTAATATCTCTTCGCCATCTTCTAATTCTTCTAATTCTGTTTGGTACTGACTGATTGTATAAATCTTGCCACCATTTAACTTTTGATAATAACACGCCTCCCTCAATGAGTTA